GGCTAGCAACACCGAGACGGAATCGACAAGAAAGACAAGATGAAGGTAGAGGGGAAAATCAAGGTAGTGAAGGAAATCAATCACACATACCACGACAAAATCAAGATGTTGTAGAGGAAGATGAAGAATGGGGGGGAATAGAAGAAGAAAAAGAAGATGAGGAAGGTCAGAGTGACAATGAAATGAATCTAGATCAAATAGGAGATTGTATAAGGAAAGTTAAGATTGAACTCACCGATTTATTTCTAATACTTCACTCCCTATCTTTCAATCCCCCTCCCTCCAACCTCGGTTCGATTAGTTGTGGACAACTAGGAATCAAAGAAGGACGTTTAATCCTGGCCCGGCTACTAATAGGATCCCAGCCCGGATTGGCTTACAATAGATACCATGCCTGGTCTGGCTTATAATAAGATCCAGCCAACTCGGGCTTACAATACGCAGAATTTGTCAAATCCATACGTAACACACATGGAATAGGACGCTGACGGCGGGCAAAATATTTCCTTCCTTCATTTGCAGAGGCGAGACGGGAAGCCCTCGTAGAGTTAATCCAAGATGCTTACGATTGAGACGACGAAGCAGAAGCTAGACGGCTGACAGAACGCCTGAATCGCGAGGACGGTAGAAGAGAGCCTGGGAACGCTTATATAATGGACGAAGAGTCGTCAAAATCTTTGGACAAAGACACGAATGTCCGGTCGTTCCTGGTCCCCAAATCACATCCTATAGCCCCAATAGCCCCAAGCGTAACGTTTGTCAAAGAAACTCAACACCAGCATCCGTCAGACCTACTTACGATTCCAAATCAGAAGGAGAACTCTAACTGGTTTCAAGGATTTAAAAGTCAGGATGAGTCCGATAAAGCAAAATCCTTGATAGCTTCAAAGAAAGGTTCACTTACCTTATCAAACGGAGATGTAATCCATAACGGTCGAGTCCTGCAATCAGGTCCCGCCAAGATGGGGGACGCTATCACCCCTCTTTCTCCTCACCTGACCTTAAAACTTAAGGGTCTGAAATCCTTCATTCCATTACCGGTTTTTGATGAAGAATTCCTGATTAAAGATCAAATGGCCTGGTCTTTAATACCACCAAAATCAGAAGACAAGGCAGAAAAAGAAAAAAGACTATATGGTGGTGATGGCCCGAAAGAAGAACTTACAATGGACTTCGAGGCCTGGAGTGATTGTATGGAACTGATGTGTGTCCACCTTTGTGACCAAGATTGGGGACCGGTAGCAGATAGGTTCGAAAGCCACATGGTAATTGTAAAGAAACTACGGAAAGAATTCGGTTGGATGGTGGCGCTAAGATATTGTCGGTTGGTGAGGCAAGGCGTGATGCGAGAAACAATCGATAATACAATGGGGAATTGGGCAGAACTTCAATACCATCTGTTAGCTCAGGCAAAGACAACAGCAGAAAGTTACAATGAACAACATTACCGTACAAACCCGTATGCGGTAAACGGTCCCAAAGCCAACATATGTCCTTATACCAACCAAACTAAATCATCCAATTCGAAACCAGTTGCAAGTACAAGTAACAACACGTTCACCAGTACTTACAATACAACTACCAACACGAATCGCCATGCAAGAACGAGTTCTTATTGTGGAAACGGCGGAGGACGAAGGATCCATCGAGGAGGACAAACGTGGAGTCGAGAAAGAGATAGTGACACTAGAGGCCCAAGATGGGGATATGAAAAAAGGAAAGACCGTAGCAGAAGCCCCGAGAGGCGTTATGATAAGAAAGGAATTGACGGAAAATGGAAGAGATTGTAAGCTATGGTTCATAAAAGAAAGATGATGAATAAGAAATGCATTACCTTTTCATGGTAAACTGATATAAATGTCTAAGAAGACGGTAGGAACTATCACGACGGTGCGGAATGTGAGCACCCTTCTCCAATCCTTCAGGTATGCAGACCTGGGACTAACCTAAGTTTTACGGAGGGAAAAGTTAAAATAAAGTAAGATGTGAATAAAAGTGTGCACAAATGATCTTATGGAATTCTCTTTCCGAAAGATGTTATTATTATTAACTAACCTATCACGACGGTGCGGAATGTGAGCACCCTTCTCCAATCCTTCAGGTATGCAGACCTGGGACTAACCCGAACAAAACAAGAATAGAAAACATAAACAACTTTGATAATGTAGAAGTAGAAAAAGTTTTAGATGTACCTAAGTTTTACGGAGGGAAAAGTTAAAATAAAGTAAGATGTGAATAAAAGTGTGCACAAATGATCTTATGGAATCTGAATCAATAGTAGACATTAGTAAGATACTGTAATCGAAAAATTTAATGAAAAACTTACTCTCTTTCCAAAAGATAAGGAAAGAGAGTGCAAGCAGGGGGGACAACAACAAGATAAGTATAGCAAATTCACAACTACACAATCAGTTGGGATTGATGTTCATCAAGATCAATTGGGATTGATGTGTGGTACAATCTAACTCGAAACACATAAGGAAAAATTAACTACTATAAGACCTAAAAGTCAAATCAAACCAGCTACTCTAATATCACAACCAAGACCAGTCTTCATTGTATTTCGACAACTGATACTTGCCCAATATGAATGTGCCAAACGTGACAACGGTCTATGCCCATTTGCCCCATGATTCAAATGTCTTCCCATCTCTTCTCATGTCCACACATCCTTTATCTTCACGACGGGTACCTTCATTTCTTGACACGACTCCACAGCCCTGAGCCACAGATCATTCAAGTTAAAGGCGAACAGTGAATTCAGACAAAATCGACAAAGTGTCCAAAACGCTCACTCTTTAACTGAACAAATCCAAGTTTTGACCACCCGAACTTTTGCCCTCGGGATGATTATTTTCAATTTACTTATTGCTCCTAATTCTCAATTCATCAGCCTTACAATTTTAGTGCACAATTACCGCAGTACACGGTTTCTTTGATTTGAAGTCACCCAACACTCCTGGAGATTGTTTATTCAAAGCTATCCATTTCTGAAGGTATGTTCGATTTTGTTTTATCTTAAATATCTTACTGTCTTTATTATGCTGCAAGAACTGACTGTCAAGATAACCCTTCCCTTTTTACTCATGAATAGTTTCTAAATAGTTCTCCAATCAATACCGAGCCATCTAAATAAATTTTCATTGATCTAACTGTACCTCCGGATCTCTTATTCTCAACCCATCAACTTTGAGAAAGACGATCATGCTATCATGTCACTCTGTTCATCCACATCCAATCAATCCGAAAGAATCTTCGATAAGGGAATGTGTCTCTTTGTTTTGCCAAGTTCTCTGTGATCTTTCTGCCTTTTGTTTTCAGAAACTGACTATCAAGGCACTCAAACAATCCTTGATCATTTCAAATCTACTGGTCGATATTGATGGTGATGCAATGCTTTTGACTCAAACTTGCCCCTTCTTTGAAGTTTATGACAACGTATGTTGTGCTTATATACTCATGTCTCTAATACAAACAAATTATCGAGCCCATCATTCTAGAGAACCATCAAATAGTGTAGCAGCTTGGGTGATTCAGCTAATGGGAGCAGGTCTTTAGAAACAACTGATTGTGAAATCATTCATACAGTGTAAGTCCTTTTTAATTCATCAATCAACTAATATTTGACTAATCTTGATTGAATTTATGATTTTGGTCATGCTCCTAAACCTGATCATTGACTCATATCCGTTACATGCTTTCTGAAGTTGAAATTCAATCGGTCTCACTCAGTTCTCCAATCTGGAATCAACTTCTCATCTAAACCTATTTCTAGAACAATCTTCTCAAGTAAGTAAAACTGATCAATAGCAAATCTTGAAATATTCTCAATCAATTGTACTGACTCCCTCTATTGTGTTCTATAATTTTGAACTTTAGAACTTGAAATGATGACTAACAATCAAAGCATTAAATAATCCAATCGATGTCTATGATTACAACCTATCTTAGAAAATCCAACTAAATCAAAACGTTCAAAAGAAGTCAATTTTTTCTTATAAGTAACCCAACTCAAGAGAGCGATTATCAATCCAGCACTCCTGAATCTTTATCAGATTCTAACCAACAGTTGGATTTCAATTCTTACAAAATCCAACAAACTGATCAATCTACTCCTGACAATCAATCTGATCAACAAACCACGAATTCTTCATCAAGATCGAATACTCCTACTCAGACTGTTATTATGACTTCTAACTCGTCGCTCCTGTACCATCAAGGTGAGTTTTCCTTTGATCTTGGTTCAATTCAGATTGTATTCAAATTAATCCCAGCCTCCCAAAAGCTTTAGTCATGTCAGGTTATTGATCTTCATCTTATTTGCTTTTATTTCACCTAACAGGCTAGAGTCATCATCATCATCAAGCTTTCAAATTCTATTCAAATTAAACAAAATGCTTTAGATTTAATTCAAAAATATCAATCAACTAACCAAAATGAAAATAATGATGACAATTATGACGATGAAGATCAAAATGAAGACGTAAAGGAAGATGATGATACTAAAGAGATCAAAAATCAGAAAACTAAAATTGTGGAGAGATTTGGAGTAAATTACAAATCGGTTGATTTAATAAAACTGATGATCGAGGTAAGTTCTTAATTCAAATTCTACGAAGGAAAAAGTAGAAGAACAGAAGCCAATTTAATGTGTTTCTTTTTGATGATTGATTGATCGCTTCACTGATTCTAGAGAACTTGAAGCTATGATCAATTTATTGATTACTCCTTTATTTCATTGTTTTCAATTGATCATTTTAGATCCTCTTCAATGGTTAAAAAACTCTTGGAAGCCAGTTCAAAAGCTGAACAAAAGACTACTTCCTATGGAAAATACAATGTGTAAGTCATTTTGTCTATCTTCAATCCAAAACAATTCAAAATATCTTACTGATTTTTCAAAATTTCAAATTAGCCTTTTTAGTTTGATTAATACATCACCTGCACCAATAGAAGATTGAATCCCACTACAATTAGAAGTTTTAAGCAAATTAAATGAAATGAGTTTAACAAATCCAGAAGATATTAATTTACATTTACCTACTTTATTGAAAGTACCCAATTATTTAACTTTATGGAATTTCATTAAATCTAATGAAGGAATTCAATTAATTCAAAAGATTATCAACTTATTAGAAACAAGTTCAAAAAATATAGATGCTGACAATTTATCAATTGTTTATCTTTCTTCAATTGAATTTAATGATTCATTAGATCCAACTTTACAAAGCAAATTAGATAAAATAATTGATCAATCAATTTGATTAACTTTAAACTTAAACAATTGGTATTGTTGGGATTTATTAGACAATATCAAACCCATCTCATGTTACATCCAATCCAACCCAATTCGAAAATCTTGTTATCAATTTTTTTTCAACTTTTGAAATCTGATCAACCCAATACCATCAAGATATCGAGGATTTATTGAATTCAAATACCACTCGACTTTCTACTCCTAGCAAACAATCCATCAAATTTATATCTAAATTGTTGATATTAACTGATTTTTGTTCTAAAAGAGTGGAAGGAAATGTTTCATATCAGAAATTGAAAGTTCTTTATGATTAAAAAGCGAAAGAGATGAAGAAGAAGGAATGGAAGTAGAAGAATGGATCATCAATGATAAGTCTCTCTCCCAACCAAAAAAACCCAACCTCAACCGATTTTCCTGATGATTTTGTGTATTTTTTTGTTCAGCTGTTAAAGCAAAATTAATTTCAGCAAGAGTTTACCAACCTAATCAATTAGTTTATATTAATCAATCTTCTCCTGGATCATCCCCCAACCAAAAAAAAACCAACCTCGACCGATTTTCCTGATGATTTTGTGTATTTTTTTGTTTAGCTGTTAAAGCAAAATTAATCTCAGCAAGAGTTTATCAACCCAATCAATTAGTTTATATTAATCAATCCTCTTCTGGACCATTTGGATATCATGATTGGAAAGTATTGGGTTCTAAACTTTCTCAATGGTCTGATTTGATTGATAATCTAATTGAAGTTGTCGGTCAAAGTTTAAATCACGTGAAATTGGTTGGTGTGACCGTTTAAAAAAGTACATAGAAATGTAGAAAAAAACTGAATGTCTTTATTGGAATAAATGAAACATGAAAAAATAATGGAAGCTTTGATGCAATTCGATCATTTTTGAAATGTTACAGCCGTTTTCATGATTGATGAACACTTGAAGAAAGCTTTTTGAATGTTTTGGCCTGTACCTGTTTACAATTTGCGCTGATCATCCAAAAAGTTTTTCTTCAAATGTTCATCAATTGTGAATACAGCTGTACTTTGGCAAGAAAAAAATCAAAACTTTTGTGTAGCTTTCTTTAGAATTGAAGAGATTAAACTTGACCAAAAAGTGATAGATCCAAGATCTTCATGAAATGACATCACTTTTTTCTTCTTAAAAGTTATGTACACGTAGTGACGTAAAAGCTACGGTTTAATATTTATTTTTTTGAATTTGATGAAATTTTGATTTTTGCTGTTTACCATTCTTTCGGTCAAACCTGTTGATCATTACCTCTCATATTTTGGAGATGAAGCCCTTACCATCTGATCTGAAAAACCAAATGGTCGGAATGCACCTCGCAAAGAAGAGAAAAATTGATATCAGCCAAACTCTAGGGTGTCCAGTCACCACGGTCCAATCTGTCCTTGCCAAATTTAAAGCAGAAGGCTTGGTTGAAAGCAAGAAAACATCCGGCTGACCCTCTCTATTGACCAATTGTGATCTCTGATATCTTGAGTGTGGTGAAAAATCTGGACGGGCTCCAATGTGTGAGATAGTCCAGGGTTCAGCAACAAAGGTGGGCGCTACTACAATCTGGCTGGCTCTTCAATCTCTTGGTTACAACTTGAGGGTAGCAATAGTTAAACCTTTTCTTAATGCTAAACACAAAGCTGCACGTCTTGAGTTTGCAAAACGCTATGTGGCGTGGACGGTGGATGACTGGAAGCGAGTAATTTGGACTGATGAATCAACCTTTGAGATTGGAAAGCTGTATCGCAAAGTTCGGGTTTGGCAAAAAGTGGCTGGGAAATATGAAGCATCCTTGTTGGCACCATCTTTCAAATCAGGCCGTAGTTCAGTGATGGTTTGGGGTGGTTTTGTTCCTGGACACAAGCTCAAGCTGGTCATTATGGAGCCTGGTCGTCAAAACTCGGACAACTTTATTTAGGGGATACAAAGTTAAAACTGGAATTTTTTTCCCAGTTTCCCAGTTTCCCAGATACCGCCAAAAACGCAAACTGGGAAACTGGGAGAACGTGGGAAAGTTCCAAACACAGCCAAGAACAAAAACTGGGAAACTGGGAAAAAAATCCCAGTTTTAACTTTGTATCCCACAATTGAGCAAGTGTATGAAAAATTGTTAGGACCCTTTTTACACGACTCTTCCAATGCCAACAATCTCATTTTGATGGAGGATGGAGCCCCAGTTCATCAATCTAAACTTTCCTCAAAATGGCGTGAAAGAGAAGGAATAGTGAAGTTAAATTGGCCAGCGCAATCACCTGATTTGAACCCAATCGAAAATCTTTGGTCCATCATGAAATCCAAGATCTCAACTAAGCATCCGATCCAGGATCTTGATTCCATGAAGGCCAATGTGTTGGAATCATGGGAGAGTGTACCTACAGAGGAATTGGGATGTCTGGCTGCCTCAATGCCCGAGAGACTTCAAGCTGTCATCGCTGCAAAGCGTGGATCCACCCCTTGGTGATCAGTCAGGTATCTTTCTTTCTCTGCACTCCAGATTTTTCATTCATACATCATTAGATAGAGAAGATGCTGATCCTTTTTTCTTGCTATCTCTAACAGGCACTATTGTACATACAATTAAAGGTTATAATGAAATTTGTAAAAAAAAATCTATTTTTTTTGAACAAAATGACAAAACCGTAGCTTTTGTGTGACTACGTGTACACATACCTCACTCAAAAATTTGTTTTTTACCTTCTTAGTTTATGTTTTTGGTTTTTGGATTAAGTTTTTCAAAATCTGAAACAAAATGAAACTTCATGTACTCTGATATGGAATCCATTAGCGGTTAGGGCCTAGGGGTTAGGGCTTAGGATTAGGGGGTTAGGTTCAGGGCAAGAACATTTTCACTCCACACCAAGTTTATGTGTCAGCACCTTTGTGCAAAGTGCTCATGATTTGTACCAATTGTTGATCTCACCACAATCAGAACTCAGATTTCTCATCACAAGTTACCCATGTGGCAGTACTGATTGGGATTCTGTATTGAAAGAGGTCCATGTTTCTCTTACGGTCAAGTCAACAATCCCAAAATATTCTGTTTTTTTCAGCTCAGAACAGATGGAGGATGTGCAATCCAGAATTAGTGGTGTTTTGAAAGATCACGGCCTATAGTCTCACTTTAGATCTGGATTGACTTGTGCCAAAGTGTTGATAAGTATGGTGATTTTGTATCTGATGTGAGCAAAAGCAAGATATATTTCAGTGTCCACATTTCATATCAACATGATTCTACTATCAGATTCAAACAGAACAAAAGGTCAATTGAATCAAAATTGGAGTATCTCAATGACTACTGTGACTTAAACATCAGTGATGGATCTGGTGTGACCAAAACAGCTACTAAGTGTTAAACAACAATATCCTCAGGCTGGGTGATCCAATATAGTGATGAGATAGATTATACTGCGCTGTAATGCAGCCAATCAACCCCAAGAAAGCTTTCCTCCTCAGGTGATATATCATCCAGCATAGGCTGTAGCATGCTATATGAATTGAACTAAGATAAGCCCATTCTTACAGTGCGGCGCCCGCCGCCCAATTTGGCTAGTTGCCTTTAATCCTTGAGACCGATTAAACAAAAATCAAAACAGAGAGGAATCGGGCCAAGCCTCCACCTCCTCCAATTGCAGAGGAGAAAACATAAAGAGTTGGCCGAAGATGTAGTCCTTTGAAATGAACCTAGGAGTATGGGAGGAAGAATTAAAAGGTACTGGCCTGTATCAGAAGTATAAACACATTCTACAGATGTTTGAAACAGGCTTCTCACAAGGAATTAAGAACACAACAACACCTTCTCACCACTTTTATTGCCCGCCAAATCATTCATCTGCAAGACAAGCAAAAGCAAAGATAGAGGAAAACTTCAAGAAAGAATTATTAGCAGGCCGAATGTACGGCCCATGGCCCAAAGAAGAAGTTTACAAGAAAATCGGCTTCTTTAGAACCAATCCCTTGGGCGCAGTAGTGAATGGTGACAGATTGTTTAGACCTATAAGCGACTTATTGTATCCAAGGCATATAAGAAACATTGAATCAGTAAATAAAAATGTGGATAAAGAAGAATTCGAGACATCTTGGGATGACTTCAAGAAGGTAGAGTGGTTCTTCATAAGTTATGAAGGAAAGCTGTACCTAGGAGTTTTTGACTGGGCCAAAGCTTACCGGCAAATACCAGTAGCAATGGACCAGTCGCAATTTTTGATGGTGTTGGATTTCAATGATGAAGTGCTGCTCGATACAAGGGTACAGTTTGGCGGAGTAGCAGGATGTGGTACTTTTGGTTGGGCGGCGGAAACCTGGAAGGAAATAATGGTGAAGAAATTCAACATGTTAGCAGGTTTCCGTTGGGTAGATGATACTTTATTCGCCAAACCTGTAGAAGATACCAAAGCGGGACAGATGATTGACATCGTAAAAGCAAGTGAGCAAATGGGCGTAGCGACGAACGAAGAGAAGTGGAAGGAGTTTGGTTATACCCAAAAGTACCTAGGCTTTGTGTGGAACGGAGAAACCAAAACAGTTAGCTTACCGCAAGACAAAGTCCAGCTACGGATTAGCCAAATCAATGAGTACTTACAAGAAGCTAAACAATCCTTCAAAGAAACAGAAAGACTCGTAGGAAGGTTGCAACATGCGGCATATGTCTTCCCACAAATGAAGGTCTACTGTGCGGCAATCTATAGGATGTTACAACAGTGGAAACATAAATATGCATTACGTGACATCCCCGAGGAAGTAAAGGAAGACTTGATGATATGGAGAGATACGCTTACAACAGCAAAACCACTTTGAGTGATTCCGAGGCCGGAAACGCAGACAATAGGTTGGGTTGGGGATGCGTTGACGTCCTATGGTTTGGGAATCATTGTAGGAAAAAGATGGTCCCGATTAAAACTAAAGAATGGATGGGATAAAGTAGAACAAGATGGAACGAAAAGAGGAATAGCCTGGGCAGAAACCATAGCAATTAGGTTAGGCTGGATGATGGTGAAGAAGTTGAGGAACGTAGATGGAAACACTTACTTAGCCTTGACGGACAACACCTTATCAGAAGGAGCCGTCAATAACGGGAAATCAAGAGATCCTCTGGTGAACAGAGAGTGGAAAATCATCCAGAAAGACTTACTAGCTCACAATAGCGCGATCGAGGCAAAGAGGGTGAAGTCTGCAGATAATGCAGCTGACGCACTATCTCGAAGATTAGACTCGACCAAAAAGAAATGGGATGAGATTAGGATAGAAATACCAGCAGATTTGGAAAGGTTCATCATACAGACTTGAAATGCAATATAATCCCAGTTTTTGACTTACATTAATTGCCCATGAGACATGTTTGTTGCTACCTGTTTGAGTCTTGAGAAATCATCCTAGTGAGTCTTGAGTCTGTGATTCTTCCTGAAACCTGAGCAGGAAGTAAAGTGAGGTAGAAACCAGGGTGTGAAGTGAGCCATACACCGGCGTGAGGTTGATTGGCCGAGGGACGTGGAATGACAGTTTGACACCTCGCTGGAGAGTGAGAAGGGAAAATACTGATCTGTATGTAACTGACTTGACGCCCAAACAAGCCTGCGTCGGGGCCTTAAACAAAAACAAGAACACGAGTACTGAGCATTGAGGGAGTAAACATCTCCAGTCTACACTCTTCATCTCATCGACAACCTATACTCGTCAGCTCAAATTCGACACCCATGCCACCTTACCGACTACATGGACAACCCATCCAAAACAAACGCAACCCAGAGACTAGTCCACCAGGACACTTCGGTACAGCGCTCAAGTTGGC